TTACTAAAAGTTATGAAATACATCATTGTGAAGCTAGAAGCACGCCCATACCGAGCATCTAGACTCGACTGCTAGCAGTATCTCGTGCTCGTATATATATATATACGTTATATATATATATATATATATATATATATATATATATATATATATATATATATATATATATTAGTTTGATAAAAACAAAGTTTTTGATATGAGAGTCTAAGAAAAACACACGCATAAAAAAGTTGGGTCCTTAAGGGTATCCTTTTTCGTAGAATAAATAGAATATTTTTTATGGGCAGGATGTTTTCTTTGAATTCGATATATTGAACTCGGATAGAAGATAAACAAGTCGTTAAATTGTCATGAACCTGCCTTAAAAAATATAATACACACACACACACACACACACACATATATATATATATATATATATATATACCTATATATATATATATATATATATATATATATATACCTATATATATATATAATATATATATATATATATATTAGGTTGTCAAATATCTCCCTTCCGCTTTTATATATATATATATATATATATATAAAAGCGGAAGGGAGATATTTGACAACCTATTATGTTTATGGGTAGGGTAGACTAATTATTAATGGCCCACCACGGATATCTCATAAACAAATAAAATTAGATTTTTTTTAACAATTATATTTGATAGTAGAGGGCAAAAAATGTATAAATTCATAACCAGCCATCACCTTTATTCTTATGACTTGGCTATCAGAAGATAAGCAGCACATAACTGCAATAAAAAAGACCAGCTGAACCTTTACTTTGCAAAGGTGTAAGCAATAAAATAGTAAAGTTTAAAAAAAGCAATTTTACAAGAGATTAATTGAATAAATTGTTAGTCCGGCTCTTCTGTTGAATATTTCTGACCAATAACAGATCAATGTAATATACTGTGTGGTCCTTGTAACAAATGTACCCACAGAATTAATATTTTGCATTGGTTCAATAATGTAGCATAAAATGCCTTTAAAATTTAATAAAAGAAATTGCATCTGTTCGACCCCTGGTTGTTCCACTTTACCCCGTATGTGAGGAAAAATTGGTCAGATACCAAATGTTTAAAAATTAGTAAACAATATAATATTTATATAATTAGGAATTATGTACGTATGTATGTAAGTTTTTCTAAACATAGTTCGATAGATGCTTATTTGATGTATGTTATGTGTTGTTCATTGGGTTTAGACAGTATAATTACCGTAAGTCAAATTGGACCGTTGTGCCCCCGCCCTACCCTATGTCAATTTTATTTTATATTAAATTTTAATGTGTCATTTTTATTTTTAATTAAAACGTTTGTATAGGCTTTTCTTTTAAATTACTGAAACATGTAACATGTTTGCATATTAAAAAGTTTTTCTTCAGTACGCTTTTAATGACGACCGGTTACTATGACGAGATTTCGGCGTCCATTCGATGTCATACTAAGCGGATTCTACTGTATATATAAACGAATATTTACAGATTATAATGATATGGTGAAGATTCTGCAAGAAGCCAGGAACCGTCTGGAGCAAGCTAAATTTGATGCCCGAGTTGCAAGACATAACCGATACTTAGTTGGTGATGGTGTGATAAATGAAGATTCAGAACCGAATGAGAAAGAACATGAAATATCTGAAGCGATTCAAGTTATTGAAAAGGAAATACTGGTCAGTTACTCACAAATGCTTAAAAAAATAACGGAAGCACGCTCGTATTTATTTTTTTTAACTTCCCGTAGGGTAGTTATAGTAATGGGCCGAAAACCCTTATCTAAAATGAAAATTTTTGCATTTCTCGACGTTTTGAAAGTTTCTGAACATTTTACTGGCATACCTCAGAAACTAAATGGATGTGTATGTGTGTGTGTTTTGTATGTCCGCATTTTTTGTCCCCGTTTTCGGGCGCACGGATCAACCGATTTGAATGGTTTAAAAAACATTTGATCCGCATTGATAGGGAGTTGTGCTAATCAGTTTTTGGCAATGGCAAGTCCAGCCGTTACGGAGATGTGGAGCAAAGAGTTCCGAAAATACAAATCGAGTTTTTGAGAGAACGGATCATCTGATTTGTATGATCCAAAAAACATTCAGTTCATAATGACGGGGAAAGTGGTTATTAGTTTTTGGCAAAGGTAGGCCCAGTGGTTTCGGAGATACAGAGCTAAATTTAAAAAAATGGCAGTTTTTGAGAGAACTAAGCGTCCGATGATTCAAAGAACTTTCTTTTGCTTTTGGAAAAAAAAAAATTGTTTCTAATTTTTTTTTGAAAAAATATTTTTGTAATTTTGGATTAAAAATTCAAAAAATTACCCAGGCTAAGCATATTCTAAGCGCCACTCTGGTACAAATGTTCACCCAAGTGCGTTTATACTGTCTATGCACTGGAGCGCTTTTCCAATTTAGTGGAAATTATTGAAAAATGTGAAAATGCCGCCAAGCTAAGCACAGTATAAGTGAATTTTTTTTTTTTTGTTACAATTTATTTTTGTTATAAGTGAAAATGTCGCACATAATTATTTACAAATGCGTTTAGATTGTGACTATACGGGAGCACTTTTTTAATTTTGTGTAAATTAGGCAACTATTTTTTTTTAAAATTGACTGAATTCGAAATGAAATGACGATTGTTAATGTTCTAGAGATAAATTGATTTATAAATTACATTTGATTTGTTCAGATATAGCAAGATAGTAAAAATAATAAAAGTTACAGTATTTGTAATAATATATTTGTTAACGTTTAAAATTTCTCGAATATTTCATTACGGTACGGGATGTTCCAGCAATTTGCCAAAGCACAATGCCATACACCACTAGTTATTTTTTTTTTTTTTAGATGCACAAAGAATGTCTACAACGTCTCCACACAGACCAGAAAGCAAGTATCTCAAAACTGAACCTGTACAAACAATCCCTGGACGAATGGTTTCAAGAATACTGCAACGACAAATACAAAACCAATGTTGGCATTGTTAAATCAGAATTGTTTTTGGGCGAAGAAGAAACAATCGAAGAACAAGCCATGGAAATGGAAGAACACGATGAAAATTTAGAAACTTCTGAGGAATTTATGTTTAATGCTTTGCAGAGAGAAATGTTTAAAGAAATGTCTAGACATAAAAAATGTATTAAGAAATTGATCAATATATGAATTATACATGTACATATATATATATATATATATATATATATATATATATATATATATATATATAATATAACTATAAATTATAATTTCACTCACCCAATAGGAAACGATACATATTTTCCATTTAAAGTCATGTAGTACAAGCCGTAGTTAAAAAGCTTTATTTCATTATTGTCTCCAATAAGAATATTTTCCGGACTCAAATTCCTGTGTGTTATTCCTAAGCTGTGTAAATGCTTTATGCCATTTACCAAACCTTTAGCAACCTTTGTAATAAAATTGATTGAAATATTTGGTAATTCTGAAGCACAATGTTCTGCTAAAGTTCTTCCTGAATACTGGGCAACGATAATAGTCCTTTCTAAAATAAAATATACATATATATAAATATATACACTAATATATATATATATATATATATATATATATATATATTCAATTATATATAATATTTCAATTATCTTACCGTGTTTTCCTCTAACAATATCCAAGTACTGACAGAGATTCTCATGACATATTGTCTTTAAAATTTGAGCCCTGCCCAAAATTGCAATCGAATAAGGTGTTAAAGGCAAACCATTGCTGCCACAAGTCTCGACTGGATGACACCTTGCAAAAAATGTGACTGCAGCAAATAAACTAACTTGGTCTACGTTACTTGAGATTACTGGACACATTTTATGTGTGTGTATATATATATATAGTTATCACAATGGGAATGAGTATTTGTTTAAATAATAATATAATGTAAGTGTTACTTCACTAGTGAAAATAATAATATATAGTTTAACACATTTGTGGTTGTGACATTTTTATTATCAAGTCTATAAGTTTAATGTGTGTATATGCACATATATGTAGTTTACACTTGTAATCACTATTAATATTGTTAAATAAACAAAATAAAAACTAATTATTTATAAATATATAGTTTACAATATTTGAGGTTATGTTTGTGTTGTATTTATTATAAGTTTACTTCTAATATGTTTATATGCAATTAAGTTTTGTTAACACTTTTTCTTGTAATTAATATTATATAATAAACCAAATTTATGTATTTTATGCACATGTTTTTATATTTTTATTAAAATTATTATATATTATTTTTAATATTTGACATTTGTGTTTGACTTTAACATAACCTATAATTGACAGGTTGTGCAAATTGGTAAAGCGGAATTTCCGATAACGGTTTAAAAATTCAAATCCGTTAAAGAATTTATTATTTTCTGCAATGGATGTATATATATATATATATATATATATATATATATATATATATATATAATCTTGTTAAGTTATCGTGGTTATTAGTGTGTTTTACCATCTGTAATGTTAAAAAATATATATCTTATCAATACCATGGAATAATAATGGTTTCATATACTATATTAGGATACAAAATTGTAAGTGTTTTATTATTATTATTATTATTACTGTTTTTCCATGAAATTTCCTTTCATATAATTTATTTAATTTCAATTTACAGTTAATTTGATTACCACTGAATGATGGCTAAGATGCTAGCCGAAACGTATGGATTTTAAATAAATAAACTTTTAAAAAAAACTCTCATACTATTTTTTGGTGTTACGCCCGAATATTAAACTCAAATTAAACATATATATATATATATATATATATATATATATATATGTATATTACAAAAATACAAAGTTTCCAGAAATCAAATACTTTTATTATTTATTAAATAGCATCATTAAATAAAAAACTTATGTCACATACTCATAATGCACTTACTTATTTACTAAATTAAACAATATACTATAATCTCGTACACAAAACCAAAAACCTTTTGATCAGTAGTCGACATTTATTTAATTCTATTATATGAATTCTAGACCTAAACAAATCATCAATTCCTCCTCATCTTCTTATCAGGAGGCGGCATCAGATCATGATCGTTTCTAAATCTGTGATTCTGGATAAACCTTAACAATTTTTCAGTCGTCACAGGATTTTTAATACTGTGCCAAACAGCTGAGGATAAAAACAACATGTAAATGATATTTTTACCCTATAGTATAAGTCATTTACCTTCGGCTGTTGAGTAACTGTTGGGAAACGATTTGTCCGTCCGTTCTCTCATAAATACCCATTTGTTGTTTTCAAGTTTGCATTCGATAATTTTGCCATCTAGTTCTTTTAGTTGCTTCGTGTAATCCATTGTTGCAAACGGCTGGTCGCACTGACCAACATATAAAAATCCTGTTTTCTTTGGCAGAATTCTACCAAGGATAATGAATTTAAAACTTGCAAAAAAACGAAATTTGTAAAGTCACTTATGGTCACTTACCCTAACCCTCCTAGAGTGTTAATTTTTAATTTAAAATCTATAGAATTCATGCTCAATGGTTTCCATTTTAGTACTTCACTGCACGCTCCAGGTACATAAGGCTATAAAAACAATTTATATATATATATATATATATATATATATATATATATATATAAATAAATATATATATATATATAAATATATATATATATATATATATAATTTTTACTAAATAATACTCACATCCAACGAAGGTTGAAATATCAGTCCATCAGGCTCATGAGACAAACTTTTTGCAAATTTAGGTCCCAATAAATTTTCAGCCTGAGTGACGTCCCAAAAACTTTTATTTCTGATACTAAACGGTTCTTTGATGCGTTCGATTTTACCTTCTTTCATTGCCCTATGTCTAGAGTATAAAAAATAATAGATTATTATTATCGTCATAAAAATCTTTTCCAACACTGTTTGATGTTACAAATTTCAGCAAAAAGTCTTTTAAACCTGATGATGGAACATATCGAGTTCCGAAACGTGGTAAATAAACATCCACTAAAAAATCGGTTCATGGCATAATAATTTACTAATTTGTTTTTATTTTACTAAATTGTTTATATTACAACAATGTAGTTACAGATAAATTTGGTTTTTGCCACAAAAAAACTGACGATGGAACATATCGAGTTCTGAAACGTCGTAATTAAACATTAACTGGAAAATATATCATGTCATAATACTTTATTATTTATTTGCTAAATTAATCAATAATGTAGTTACGAAGAAATTTTGTTTTCGACAAAAATAACCTGATGATGGAACATATCGAGTTCCGAAACGTCGTGATTAAACATCCACTGAAAAATTGTTCATGTCATAATATTTTATTATTTATTTGCTAAATTAATCAACAATGTAGTTACAAACAAATTTTGTTTCCGACAGAAAAAAAACCTGATGATGGAACATATCGAGTTCCGAAACGTCGTAAATAAACATCCACTGAAAAATTGTTCATGTCATAATACTTTATTATTTATTTGCTAAATTAATCAACAATGTAGTTACAAACAAATTTGGTTTTTGCCAGAAAAAACCTGAAGATGGAACATACCAAGTTCCGAAACGTCGCAAACTGAAAAAATGTTCATGACATGATACAGGGTAAGTTATTGTAATCGTCTACAAATCTAAATTAAAAAAATTTGCATATTTCCACGTTTCAGAAGTTTCTGAACATTTTGGTGATGGAACATATCGAGTTCCGAAACGTCGTACTTAAACATATACTGAAAAAATATTCATGACATAATATAGGGTAAGTTATTGTAATCCTCCAAAAATCTAAAATTAATAATTTTTGCATATCTTCACGTTTCAGAAGGTTCTGAACATTTTGGCATACCTTAGAAAAAATTAGTATATGTGTATGTGTGAATACAATTTTTCGTCCACGTTTTCAGGCGCACGGATCAACCGATTTAAATGGTTCAAAAACATTCGATTCCTAATGATAAGTAGATATGTTGATTAGTTTTTGGTAAAGACAAGTCCAGCCGTTTCGGAGATACGGAGCAACAAGTGCAGAAAATTAAAATCGAGTTTTTGAGAGAACGATGCGCCCGATTTGAATGATTCAAAAAACATTCAATTCGTATTGATGGAGAGAAGTGGTGATTAGTTTTTGGCAAAGACAGGTCCAGCCGTTTCGGAGATACCGAGAAAAATGTGCAAGAAGTGGCAGTTTTTGAGAGTAATAAGCATCCGATTTTAATAATTCAAAAAAAAATCTGCTTGTGTTGACGAAACGATTGCTTTTGGTAAAAATTTTTTTTTTGCAATTTTTTTCTATACTAAATTTTATTCTTCGAGTATTTCGTTACGGTACGGGAAGTTCTAGCAATTTGCCTTAAGGCACGATGCCATACACCACTAGTTTATTTATTAAATCAATCAATAATGTAGTTACAAAACATATTTTGTTTTTGGCACAAAAAAACTGATGATGGAGCATGTTTAGTTTCGAAACGTCGTAAATAAAAAATCTTTCATTTTTAAAGAAGTATAAATAAATTTATTGAGAAATCCAGGATTAATATATATATATATATATATATATATATATATATATATATATATATATATGATTGTTTCTTTTCCGAATAGTAAATCCAATAATAAAAAACAATTTGTTTTTTGAAGATGTTTAATAACGACGTTTCGGAACTAGGTACGTTCCGTGTTCGGAAAAGAAACAATCAATATATTGAAAAAATCCAGGACTTATCTATTGAATATATATATATATATATATATATATATATATAAATATTTTTTACCTGGGTGCAACAATTTCAGCCTCAACATACTTCAGTCGGTTTGGATAAAAAGGTTCCTGTGACACATCTCGTCCATTGAGACAAATAATATCATAAACCAAATACCGTGGTATATTTTGGCCTTCAACTTTGTCCATAACCATTTCCTACAACAATAAAATTATAATTTATTACAATAACAGTAATCAATTTATTCAACTAAATTATATATTATAATTACACTAACCCCATCAAGTAACGTATCGACTAAATGTGTATGTATATTCATTTTGTGTGGAAAGTACATTGACTCAACTTTAAAAACCGAATTATCTCTGTCAAAGAAATATATTTCGTTCAGTTTGTCAATCAGCATCATGTACCTAGGAAAAATAATAGTGTTAATATAAAATAATAAGATATAAATAATTATTATTATTTACCTGGTACCGTCGGCTTTCCACGATACCCGATAAGGTTTGATTTCCAATTTTTTTATATTTTCGTTGTCCATTGAAACGGGTTGCGACCCTGGAAAACCTTTATTCTGCCAATTACACAAAGCCTGTAAAAAAATAATATATCACAACTGATATAATTTTATATGGGTATATACAGGGCCGGTCCTGCCTTGCATGCGACGCATACAAAAAATGCGGGCGCACGCCTTAGGGGGCGCCAAAACGAGTTTCGGAAATTAAATTTATAATATAATATTTATACTTTTTATATAAAATCTAGAATTATTTAAAATCTAGGATACTTAATAAATTTATTGCTTAATTCACTTATTCAATTTTTTGTTTGTTTGAAGTTACCGTGGAATCGAAAAAGAAATTATCTAGTGTTCAATCCCACAAGCTCAAACCTGCGAAAGATTGAATTTATTGTTGGGCATTATTGACGAAAAATTGCAAGCTGATTTAGTTGAATCGGAATTTGTTAAAAAATATAAACAAATTATGAAAAATGGAGAGTCAGTGCTTAGGAAATGACTTATTTATTCCGAGAAATTGAATTGTAACTTTTGCTTTTGTTGCAATACTTGCAAATATTTCGCATCTGTTGAACTTTGAATGTTGAAGACATGCGTGGAACAAATATAAAAAATGGAAGCAAAATTTACTTTGAAACGAAAATCTTAAGGCTTGTTTTATACCTAGTGGTGTCCATACTCTAAATTTATTAATTATTAACTATACAGAAATAATACATATCAAATATAATAAGTTTTTTTTTTCAATATTGGTCAAGAAATGTGTAATTTCTTTGCATTTTTTTTACTGATTTTTGAACAATACTTCTAAAATACGTTAAAAATTTAACTTGAAAACAATAAGCTGATACTCTGAATATGACGGCTCTTACTATATCAATAAGGAGAAGTTTACGACGCAATTTTGGATATTGTAAATGATGAAAAATTAAATTAAATTAAAATTTAAAAAATCCAAAATGAAATACGAGTGTTATGTTTGAAATGAAATGCTAGTTTTTTTAAATATTAATATTGCAAATACGTTAAAAATAATTGAAAATTTCAAAATACTTGATTATAATCAACCCCCGAATCGCCTCGATTTTCTACATAAATTTAAAATCAATATATTTTATACGCTTTTAAATTATATCTAATTTTTTGTGCACTAAATCCAGAATAATTAAAAATTAATTTATTTATTTCACTTAATATTTTTGTTAAATTAAAGTTATAGAATTTAAGAAATGCATTTCAGAAATAGTATTTATTATTTTGATATCAAGATCTTTATATCAAAATAATAAATACTATTTCTTAAATGCGTTTCTTAAAATCGATAACTTTAATCTAACAAAAATATTAATTCTTTTGCTATGGTAGTCGAACTTACATCCTTAACCAATTTACTACATATTGAATATTACTAAAATGTGAAATTATGACAGGGACTGTTTTATTTATTGATATCGATATTAATAAATAAATTTAAAATCAATATATTTTATACCCTTCTAGATTATATCTAATTTTTTGTGTACTAAATCCAGAATAATTAAAAATTATTTTTTTAAAATATGTGAATATTTATATAATTTTAATGATAAACTGTTAAAACGGTGAAAATTAATAGGGGGAGGGGCGCTAGAAAAAAAGTTACATGCGGGCGCTGAAGACCCCAGGACCGGCCCTGTATATGGGTATATATAAATAAGTGTGTATGTAATTTTTACCTGTACTTTCTGTTGTAATACAGCTGCTTCATTTTCATCTCGTATGAGATAAACACCAGGAACACCTTCCATAAATGTCGCGTTCTGATTATACTTTTCCTTTCGTCTTTTCTTTTTTTTACCAGACGTTGAAGAAGGATCCCCGGAATCATTATTTCTTTAAAATAATAAAAAAAATTAAAAATTATTAAAACATTTAATAACTTCCTGAAGAAAATCCTAGAAGTAAAACTTACCCATCATCAGGATTGTCACTCTCATTTCCTGCATAGTCATCCTTATCACCATCATCGTATTCTAAAAGTTAAAAAATAATCGAAGTATTATATATATATATATATATATATATATATATATATATATATATATATATATTGATATTGTTTGTTTCGACTTTGAAACATTATATGATACAGTTTTGCAGCCACAAGTCGAAAAATAAAACAAGAACGTAAATATAAATCTTTTTAGTACGTTTCGAGCTATTCTGCTAGCTCATCATTCAGCTAAAAAAACAAACAATTCATATCCGTTAAAATTAGTTAATAATATTATAAAAACCCGTATGCAGTATTTAAATAATAATAAAATTAACACGAATAATAATAACCTTTCGTCACCTATTGATACTAGTTCAATAAATTCTTCATCTTTTCTAAATCGTTATAAAGGTATTATTTCCTTACCATTTTTAGGCACTTTTACTTATTTTTTAAAAAAGATATTTTCTGAAGAAGGTTTTCTTTTAGTTTCCAAATTTGAAAATACTCTAAATTCTTTGTATACTCCTTTAAAATCAAAAACACCACAAAATAGAATTGTTGACTCCGTTTACAAGGTGAATTGTAATGATTGTGAAAAATTCTATATTGGGGAGAGTTCACAGTATATATACAAAAGAATGCTTCAACATAAATATAATTCAAATAATAAAAATCAATATAAAACAATGCTTTCAGACCATATGCAAAATTCTAAACACACATTTGACCTAAACAATCCAGTTATTTTATATATTGAACAAAATGTTGACCTGAGAAGATTTGCTGAATCTGTTTTCATTTTTTTTAAATTCTGATTGTGTTAATAAGAGAACTTCTTCTTCCTTACTTTTTGACAGCTATCAAAATTTAATTAACATATGTAAATCTGATTTATTTTAATATTTGAACAATTTTCTACCACTTGATATTTTTTTTTATTTTCTTTTATCTTTCATTCGATATATTTCGATTACTTGATTTCATTTTTCAAAATTTTATATATATATATACATATTTTTTTGTTTTTTGTTTTTAGAACAAAATATTCATTTTTGTCAAATTTTACACAAAATGCTTTTTTGAATGTTTAATAACTTACAACTTTAATAACTTGGTTTGGTATGTATAATTTTAATTCTGTTTTATTGTATTTTGTTACTTTGTTTTATTACTCTGTTTGTTTTTTTAGCTGAATGATGAGCTAGCAGAATAGCTGGAAACGTACTAAAAAGATTTATATTTACGTTCTTGTTTTATTTTTCGACTTGTGGCTGCAAAACTGTATCATATATATATATATATATATATATATATATATACTAGCTGGCCCGGTAAACATTATTTTACCATAAAAAATACTTCCACAAGAAAATTGATTCCAAAATTAAAATAATTAACGGTGGACAATTCTTGATAAAAATAAATAGTATTGCAAAGTACTCGGACTCTATATAACTGTTTCCAGAATAATGTAGTAAATTTTATCTAGTTTCTCCCTATCTAACTGAAAAGGGATGCTTTCATATGATATTTGTGAGTTATTTGACAAAAACCAAAAAAAATTCCCAAATTTTCTATTTATTTAAATATTTTAAATCTATTTCAAGTCGTTTTATTCCAAATTTTTATATCGGGGTGTATATAACTGTTGGCATGAAATCGTCGTAAATTTTATCTAGTTTCTCCCTATCTAACCGAAAAGGGGTGCTTTTATATAATATTTGTGAGTTATTTGTCAAAAACCAAAAAAATGTCCCGAATTTTCTATGTATATAACATTTATATAACATTTTAAATAACATAACATTTAAAAAAAACATTTTAAACATTTATAACATTTAAAAAAAAATATTGAGTGTAAACCACCCTTGATAAAAATAAATAGTATTTTGAAGTAAAAAAAGTTGTATATGTTTTGTCAATCCCGCATTAAAAAAACTAAAATAAAAGCGTTGACCCCCAAAATTACTGTTTTTTAGGTTGAATTGAATTTTGCTTTTCGAAGGACCGATTGTAAATACTTTGATTTTGTAACTAGTAATATTTATTTTACTTTAATTACATAAATTACATCGTATTTATAATAATTTAATATGGTTTTATTCCGTGTTGAATGATTTGAGTTTTAATTTTATAATAAATCGATTGATGATTTTTTGTTTAATATATCAAATATATCCGCATGCTTTGATTGGCGCGAACAATTACAAAAAAATATTAGGATTGGACAACCATTAATAATAATAAATTGTATTTTAAATAAAAATTCAAGCTTTTTCTTCAAACTCAAAAATCTGAACTAAAATTATGTCAAAAATATTCAATGACTGAACGCGGGATAAAAAATGATTGAATTACTATAAAAAAACAGGGGTTGGTGATAAAAAAGTAAAAAATTGGGTTGTATGTATTTTTTAATGACAAAAAATTTCGCCAAAGAAAAAATTAAGTGTGTACAACTCTTATAGCTCACTAAATACTAAAAATCTAACTAATACTGAAAATTTTAGTATTTAGACTGTCAGTTAATCTGTACATACTATAATGTAACAAAAAAAATTGTCAAAAATAATTAGTTTAAATGTTCCAGTTATTAATAGCTTGGTTTATCACAGTGTAATAGTGTAGTGTATTTTTGTATAATTAATTTTCTGTAAGTATTTATATATAAGTTCAATAACTTTATATCTTTTTCCTTCTACATTATACAAAATCTTTTAGTTGTTCAGTTAATCTGTACACACTGAATGACGGTCTCGTCGAAGACCGAAACGTATTATATATATATATATATATATATATATATATATATATATAAATCTCGTGTCACGATGTTGGTTCGCGATGGACGCCCAAACTACTGAACCGATTTTAAATTTTATTGGCTCATCGTGTGCATATATATCCAACTTAGGTTATAGGAAACTTTGAAAAGTAAATTTAAAATATAAATTTATAATTTTTATGAATTTCAAAAAAATTTGACAGAAAATGGCCAAAAAATAAACAAAACACTAAAATGACAAATGTCAAAATTTATGGAAAATTCGAGAAAAAAAGATTTATGATTTTTGAAAAAAAAATTGACAGTTCAAAAAATAAAATTCAAAAACATGTACATATATAGAAATATCCAACATTTAAATCCAAATTTGATGAAATGCTATATTCAAAATCACTGTTTATAGTTTTAAATCTAATTAAAAATCAATGCTTAAAAATTTAAATAAATGTTGACATTAAAAAAATGTAAAATGACATGCCAATATTTATGAAAATAAATACATAAACAGATTTATAATTTATATTTATTTGATTTGCTTACCAAATTAGTTCGGATACCAAAATTTCATCAAAATATTATAGATCACAATAAAAAAGCGGCATATTAAATTTAAAATTAATCATAAACAAAATTTTGACAGTTCAAAAAAATTGAATTTCACTGACTTCAATTGAACGACTTCAATAAGAAACAAATAAATTAATTGATCCAAATTATGTTATAGGCAATATTGCCAAACAAATTATAGATACAAAATACTATTGAAAAATAAATTATATCATTTTATATTAATTTTCAACAAAAAAGACAAGAAATATTTTGACATTTATAAATTTAGTGCATATTGGATATATGAAATTGACATTCACTATTTTTAAAATTAAATGCGAATGTAAAAAATCAGATATTTATATAAAAAATTGTATATATAGATAATGGTACTGCGTTGATTTAGACTAAAATCTAATTTATACACTGATCAAAAAAAATATTTCACTATTTGATATAAATAAAATTAAAATAAACAAAACACTATGATGCGTTGGAATTAATTATCGAAATGTAAAGGAATTTGTGTAATAAAAATATAACATTATTATTAATATATCATGTATATTATAAAAACTTCTTCAAAGCGGCAAAATATTTTTGATGGCAAAACAACGTTTGCCGGGTCAGCTAGTATATATATATATATATATATATATATTATATTATTATTATTATTATTTATTTTACCTATGCACCAATCTGGAAGTTGAGGCGCCGGCGGAGCATACTCGACATCATCGTGTATCTTAAACAACTCATCAATATAATCCTTCTTATAAATCCCAGGCGGCCTAACACTTGCAAATTGCTTCATAGCAGCCCCAACTTCCATATCATACACTTCCACCAAAAAAGAGACTATCATAAAACCAGTCCTATTAAATCCATGAGTGCAATGAACACCTATAAGTTTCAAAGGATTCTGCTCTATAAACTTTCTGGCAACTTCAATGAAATTTTGCACTTGATCTCGGGATGGAGTCTCTCCGTGGCCTCTGCATTGGATTTTCTTGTATTTGCAATTGAATTGTTTGATTATCTTCTTGTCGTAGAAACGACTTGTGTTGGTTAGGTCGATCCAGAGACCTATTTCAGCCTGGGAAAAAATAGAAATATGTATATAATAGATGACCCAACAGACGTTGTCTTGTATCCACGTCTACAATTCAAAAGTTCCCAATTTTTTAATATCCTGTACTGTACTTTTTAATCCTATTTGATGTCCTGCCTTTGTGATTCATTTATGGTCTTTGTATAAGCAGTATAAAGAATTCAGAAAAAAATGATATAGTATCTGCGGTACAAGAACAATATCACACTTGATTTCACGACATAACATAATTGCTCTAATAATTTAGTCTGTAATTTTCATAATCTCGTACGATATATTAGTTGCTTTTTGGTAATTATAATTTCTAAATCACATTTTTCTTACTAATAATTTAATAAACATTATTGTTCATGTTCAAATCTTAGGTGAATTAATTTGTTCTTCAATCTAAGATCAACTTGCTGAATATTCCACATCTAAAGCCGAACAAATGAATTTTTGAATCGTGAAACAAAATTCTAAATCATTTTTTTAATAAGTAGAAATATTTTTTGTATTGCTAAATAATTTAGAAAAGTAAACCAAAATATATAAATATAGTATAAGTATAAATTAATGTAGTATTCCGTATATTATATGATGACGAACTTTCATTGCTAATAACTTTCTAAGTGACAAATTGTTCCGAAAGGGGATGAAATTTGAAACTCATCCCTGTACTAATTTCCTTGTGAGAAAAATTGAGTTTGGATATAGCCTTTGTAATGGTACAGAAATTGTAGCAAAAGCTCATTTTTATAAAATATTTATATAAAAAAAATATTTTATTTTGCAAAAATTTTAGGCAAAATTTTAGCGTTTTTCCCTAAAATTGCACGCAACCTGAAACAACGCATTGTTTTAGGTTAACGTGCAAGCGCGCACGAAATCTTGGGAAAATATTATGATTAGATATTTTTGAAATAAAAGTTAATTAATTTAGAAAATATATGTACAAAGTAATTTCAGGAGTATATAAATATAATAAACAAATAAATTCTTAAAAAAATCTAATTAATTAACTTCCTGAAGGAAAAGTTTGTTTTCATAAAAAAAATCCGATTCGCTAATTTTATGTTTTCTCGACGTTTTAAGCCATTCTGAATAGAATGAGACCAAATTTGAAAAAAGTATGTGTATGTGAACAGATTTTTTGCCGTAAATCGACGTTTTCTCAAAAACGGCTGGACCGATTTCAAAAATTTAAAAGCCATTCGATGTATCTCGATGAGGAGTAGCTTTTCTGAGTATTGTACGACGATCGGCCAAACCGTTTCTTCATAAATAGCAAAAAAGTAAAAAAAAATTCGCCCACTTTTTAGCCCGCAATTCTGAATCGATTTTGAAAATAAGTAGAAATATTTTGTTGTATTGTTAAATAATTTAGTAGAGTAAACAAAAATGCGACATGCATAACTTTAAAAAAATAATGTATGTGCAATTTTGGACTGATTGCGTTATTTATTAAACTGAATTATATAATTTCATCTGCCAAACTATATACTGTTGACTGTATCTTATTTAAATTTCTGCCACATCTCAGCTGATTTTCGGCAATAATAATGTAGACATTACATTTCTCATAAGCTCATAATTTCAGCTAAATTCAAATTTTAAGTGAATTGACATTTCTAGCAGATGACAGTTTAAATGTTTTCAATGTCAAACAATGATAGGTGTTTTTTTTTTTTGTAATTTTTGCCATTTATTTCTACAATACTACTATAGTTTTATCGTTCGTTAAATTTTAAAAATTTTCTTTGACAAACTCTAGAAAGAATTATCAAAATCCGCATAACCGTTTAGGAGAAGCATCAAATCAGATACCCGTTACCCCAAAAATTAATAAATCTCAGGGTCAATATTTAGAAATGTGTAGTAATTAATTATTAAAATTGGTCTTTTTTTGGAGAAAAAAGAAAGCTTTAAGGTCAGAAATTTAACAATGTATAGAAAAAAAAATTATTTAAGGCATTCTAGAGAAATATGAATGCTAAATACAACTTCCATTTATTTTTTTTTAATTTCATACATACATACATTTTTATTTCAGAATTTTATGTTAATAAAATTAGAAATGTATAAATATATATGATTTGTAGAGCTTCGAACAAATAATCTAATGGTAATAAAAAACCAAAAAGAAATTAAAAAGATTTTTATTTATTATCGACGTTTCGGAACTAAGTTCGTTCCATCTTCAGGACAGAAACATGATTTAGTTTAAAACCATATACTTAAAAATAAAAATTAGTGGATTTTGGTAAAATTTAAAAAATTGTGAAAGATAGGGAATTATATTTTATAAAATAAAAATAGATGATTATGGATTATATACTAAAATATTAAAATGATAGCAAAAATTATAACAGTTGAACAAAATAAACAACTGTGTATTTATGTTATATGTTTTTTAGATTACTGAATGTTGACACACATCAAGTGTCGAAACGTTTCATGGAATAAATAATTTTGTTATTTAATCTTCTTTTAATTCGACGGTTGGGCTGCAAAAATTTACAAATATATATATATATATATATATATATATATTATAATATTTCATTTGCTTTTCAAATTATTTCAATAAATGCAAGGCAAGTCGAAACTTGTACAATTTATCAAACCTGAATTTAATTACTAAATGTCCTTACAATTTATATATATATATATATATATATATATATATATGTATAATGTAAGGAGTATAAAGACTGTCCCAATATTTCATTTGCTTTATAAATTATTTTAATAAATGCAAGATGAATCGAGACTTGTACAATTTATCAAACCTGAATTTAATTACTAAATATCCATACAATATATATCCATACAATATATATATATATATATATATATATACATATATATATATATACTGATTTATAGTATAATATAAATCATTTATTAACTTTGAAGTAGTTTATTACTATGTGTCAATTTTTACCTTATAACTTTTCATATTATTAAAAAGCATTTCAGGATCAAATTTATCCACCAAAGGGACATCGAATTTGCTATCCAAAGGAGTTTTAAAGGCTAAAAATTTGTCTGCAATCAAACCCAAAGCCTTCCTTGGACATTTCAACCAACGATCAGGAGGCCTATCTGACATTTTGAAGCACTAATATTATAATAGACACTTAAATAAATAAAATTAATTAATAAGTTATTGTTTTTGCACTATTTTTGTTTCTCATTATTGCTTTTTATTCATTATTTTTCGTTATTAAATTGGATTTGCATATGTCACTTGATATAGGTTATGTTACTTTCTTACTTGGCAAAAGACATTTATTGAGAGTGAAATGTTAAACAGTGAAGTTGGCTTCGGAAGGAAACAGGAGGGAAATTTGAATTTGAAATTAGTAAATATTTTGTAATAATAAATTACAAACAATTATCATCTTTTCATAAGCTGCAAATTTAAATCAATTACAACCACAATTTTTCTATATTGCATGTATTTGTTTATAATAAGCTTATACAAATATACATCTATAACCTGATCCGTGTAAGTACAACATAAATTATATTTATATACAACATTGATAAAAAAATATACACCGCTAATTATTCTAAATCTATGACTTTGGTTTTTGAATTTATACCTTCCATCCGTCTTATCAAATCATAATCCAAGACTTCTTTTGCACTTATTTTATTTTCTTAACCCTATGGCACTTTTCTTGTATCGAATCAATCACAATAAACTTTTTTCTATACTGTAAGTAATTTGTGGAATTATTTTAAGCTAAATTTAAGTAGGTGGGTTGATAAAATTTCACCAATTATATTCTAACTGGGATAAATATAATACTAGAATTTTGCATGTTAGAATAACTTTGTAAAACCGTAAAGAAATTTTGTTATCACAAATTAACCAGCAGTATAAAAACTTTAAGCTGATAATAAAATCATCGCGTACACCTTGGTAATAACATACACTGATTATTATGCTAGTAAATGTGGAATAGGCTATCTATCGTGAAACAGCATATTATATATATTTTTAAACAAACGCTAATCAACCTTCTTAGACTTGTTACTGTTCTGTTTGCGTAGATTCTCATGCAATTGAGCTCTCTTGAGTTTCGTCATTAGTTGGGTCGATTGGTACAGCCAGCTTCCCTAAAAGAAATAAATACATATACATATTATATATATATATATATATATACATATATATATATATATATATATTATACTTACAACCATCAGCATGCAGTTCAAAAGTATCGGAACTGAAAACACGACAGAAATAAATAGCCCTTTACTATCAAAGTATTGCTGTCGAGAAAATACTTTCCAATTGAGGGCTGCATAGGCGTTTAATTGCTCTGAGAAATATACCATCAGTACTGAAAGGAAAAGTAAAATCAATATTTAGAATTAATTATTCATGAGTTATATTTAGCATTGTAATAGGTTTTCAATCAATAAATAGAAAGCATAGCAAGCAATATATATATATATATATATATATATATACATATATATATATATATATATATATATATATACATAAAGCGAGAGGTTTTTCTTATACATTGTTTTACTTATTTTTGTCTGTTAATTATGTATTTTTTTATATTGTTTTAATTTGTAGCCCTGAATTATTTAATTGTAGCACTGAAGATGGGTCAAATCAAGACCCGAAACGTATGTTCTTTAAATAAAAACATTTTTCATTAAAACTGTTTTTTAATTACTGGATGCATGCCCAAGAAACAATTTTATTATATATATATATATATATATATATATATATAATATATATATATATATATATATATATATATGCTAACAGTTAGAAAAAAAAAATTTGCCACTTTTTGAGTTTCTCAATTTTTTTTAAAAATAGTAAAAAATTTAAATTTAGAGAAAAGGCTAGTATATGTCTGAAAAGAAGTCTATAAAGAAAATTCTCTATTAACAGATAGATAAACAAGAGAAATGAAAAGTAAAAAGAAATATATACAAACATACAAAAGCGTAACATATATACATAAATATACACACAAACAAACATTTATATATGATATACATGTACAAACACGTATATAATATCTGTATATGTGTACGTGTTTGTATATTTATGTATATATATTACGCTTTTGTATGTTTGTATATATTTCTTTTTACTTTTCATTTCTCTTGTTTATCTATCTGTTAAGTATAATTGTTATTGTTATAATTATATTACTTATATCTATAGTTCTTTTTCCAATTTCTGTCATTTTTTCCTAGTTTATATTAATTTTTCAATATTCATTCTGTAGATCCACTGATGATGACATAAAATACTATGTCGAAATGTTTGGAAAAAAAAAATTAAAGATTAACTTCTAAATCTTTGCTTTTATTTGATGTATGCCCTTGAAGAACTTACTCGCCTTGTTAGTGTATCTATTACTACTTACACAGGAGGAAAAAGAGTACAACTTGAAAGTTTCCATAATTCCTTGTCAAAACTGCTGTGAGTAATACGGTAACATGAAACAATATCAAAGCAATAAGCCACGGATCCCTCCATTCAATCTGCAAGAATAATATCAATATTTATAAACATTTTAAAACAAACAATAACAAGTATCAATGCCCGGACATATGCATTGTTCAAACAACGTATCAATTTACAAAATTACACGTAGAATTAACCTGTCATAATAATAAACTTGGAACTTGAAACTCACGCTTTGTAAAAAGGGCCAAAAACCGTCGATCGAATTGACTTCTATTAGATATGGATCCATTATTTTGAGTTTTAATTTAAATTAAATTAATTGTCATATTAATAATTTGGGTTTTTGTTGATTTTAAGTAAACAGATGTAAATATTACAAAATAACCTTATATGACGTTTGGCTTTTTTTTCTGAACAGTCACCGATAAACTGATTGAAAGGGCGCGCTATTTGAAATTGGTATAGATGGCGGATGTATTATATTTTAATGTAAATAAGTATGAGCATAGATAAATAAGTACTAGTGGTGTATGGCATCGTGCCTTAAGGCAAATTGCTGGAACTTCCCGTACCGTATTAAAATATTCGAGAAATTTTAAACGTTTTCAAATGTATTATTACAAATACTGTAAGTTTCATTATTTTTTTCTATCTTGTTATATCTGAGCAAATCAAATGTAAATCATAAATCAATTTACCTCCAGAACATTAACAATCGTCATACTACATTACACTACATCAAAGAATGGTTGAGGAGGGATGTTAGAAATATTTTGTATATTTTATTTAATTAGTTTTCTATATAAGTTTTTTATATTAGTTTTATTTAATTATCATATTTTTATAATTTGTGTAATTATTTATAAATGTTGTTTTCTTAATTAACTTAATGTAATTGATACAAACAATTCTGATAATAAAAATAGGAAGAAAACAAGAAAACTACGCTAAAACTAAACTACTGCTAAAATGTTGATACTAAAAACTATGTTACCAGTCTATATAAATATATGTTCTATGCTCTCTGTTTATTTTCTGTTGTAAATATTTTTAAAATCAATCAACAGTCAGTGCTGTCTGGATCTTGGTTGAACAAGTTGTTTCTTTATAATAATAATAAATGTACAAGTCATAAATTTAAATAGATTTAAAGTTGAAGTGTGTTTTGTGTGAAAATATGTTTTATGTAAGTACCAAACAAATGTTTTATATTTTACTTTTAAGACAAAGTGGTTCATGTTTATGTATTTCTAAATATTTTGGCAAACTGTTAGGCATAATTCTAAACAAATATTTGTTTCAACACATTATGATATTCATTCAGGTCCAAAATAATGATTAATACACGAATTTGTGACTTTAAACGTCAAAAGTGAATTAGATTGTTTAAGGTTAAACGTCAAACGTCAAAATTGACAGTTGTTTGACAGCTGTTTATTTCCAAATGTGTTTTCAAATGTGTTAATTATTAAATATTTTATTTGAGAATAAAACCACAAAAACTTAGTGAAAAAATCCGTGGATAGATATCTTTAAATTAATCAAGTAGAACAGGTCGCATTTAGTTCATTTTTTCTTACTTTTTCAAAACTGCTCAAAGTCGGATATATTTCAAAAGCGGAAAATACTTTTTTTCATTATTCAAACAGGTGTGTTTTTTATACAAGGAAATACGTTTTTGAATGTTTTTCTTGAAAACAAATAATCGTGTATTAATTGTCGTGTTAATAATATTTATTAAAAGTGCAGTTGTTATCAATAATTCAATATTTACATCATAAAAATGGGTAAAAAATACATAAATGCTCTTTGTAAGTGCCATTATTAAGTAAAACAATTAATTAGTTTAATTGATGAAGCAAAAATTATTTGTTTGTCTAATGTTAATGAAATAATTAGTAAATTTTCACAAAATTAAATTACCAACATTTTTTTAATATTTGAATTCTTTAATATATTCAAATTATGCTGTATAAGATTTATGAATCATTAACCATATTAAATTCATGGATTTTATCAAACAAATTTTACTCAATTGGAATCAATATGCGAGTTTGGGACATTTTTTTACATTTTGTCAAATATTTTGGAAATTTTATTTTTGACACTTTTATATGTTTATTTTAGTATAAACTAGACAAAATTTGCTAGAATTTAGTGTATAATGTTTAGCGCAAATTTGAGTTTAATAATTGGCTATATGTAGATTTTGGAACATGTTTATTTGCTTATACTAGTATAAACTAGATGAAATTTACTAACAAATAGTATAAATTGTTTTATATACTTGCATATCAAAATTTTGAACAATTTTCAGTTGAAACGCAAATTTAAACGTAATATGTAGATTTGGGACTTGTTTTTACTTTTCTTCAAACAATTTTTAATTTTCTTTTCGGGCACGTTAAGTTGTTTACATTAGTAAAAACTATATCAAATTTACTAGAATTTAGTACAAACTAGTACATATAGTTTGAGAACTAAAATTTCGTATAATTTTTAACTGGAATGCGAAATTGTGTCTGTGTACATTTTATCAAACAACTTGAAAATTTTGTTTTATGCATTTTAATTTATTTATATTAGTAAAAAATGGATAAAATTTAGATTTATATATCATAAATAATATTAAAAGCAAAGACTGCTATTCATGCTTTTGTTGAAACTACAGTGATGATATCAAATTATTCGATTATAATAAATGATTTATTTGAAGTTGGATCCATGGATACTATCCATGGATTGTTTTAAGAGCTTTTTTTTAAACTTTGGAAATGATACGAGTATCAAGTTATTCGATTAACATAAAAGAGGTACATACAAATTATTCAAATGTTTTTATTTTTTCACTAAGTTTGTATGGTTTTATTTTCAAATAAAATATTCAAAGCTTACTTATTGTTACTAGTCTGGTATTAAGTAAAAAATAATCTTATTTTAAATGTATATCCTTAGAATAAATATTTATTCTTTTCACAGGTACTTATGCACTTATAGGAACAGGAACCAAAAAATCTGGGTCTCCCCTATACTAAAAGAAATTTATCATCAAGAACTTTTTGGACAAAATTTTTGGATGATTTTTTATTACACCAAGGACGAAATCATCCTGTTTGATGAGCTTTCAGGGCGTGTTTCACTGGAAAACAACAAAAACTTTAGTTGCAACATCGGAATTTTAGCAAAAAAATAGATTTGTTTTCGCTATTTTGGAAATGTTTTGACTGCTTCCAAAAGATTTTCGGACGCTGATTTCAGAAATGCTATCTATTTTTGGATAAACCCACATACACCCCCCGAAAAATCGAAATCTTTGGTTGCAAAATCGATTTTTTTTTTTTAAAAATAGTTTTTTTTCGCGATTTTCAAAATGTTTTGATTGGTTTTGATTGATTTTGGGACGCTGATTTCGAAAATATTATCCGTTTTTGGATAAACCCACACACACCCCCCGAAAAATTGAAATCTTTGGTTGCAAAATCGATTTTTTTAAAAAAAAAATAGTTTTTTTTTCGCGATTTTCAAAATGTTTTGATTGGTTTTGATTGATTTTGGGACGCTGATTTCGAAAATATTATCCGTTTTTGAATAAACCCACACACACCCCCCGAAAAATTGAAATCTTTGGTTGCAAAATCGATTTTTTTAAAAAAAAAATAGTTTTTTTTTCGCGATTTTCAAAATGTTTTGATTGGTTTTGATTGATTTTGGGACGCTGATTTCGAAAATATTATCCGTTTTTGGATAAACCCACATACACCCCGCGAAAATTGAAATGAAATCTTTGGTTGCAAAATCGATTTTTTTTTAAAAAAATAGTTTTTTTTTTCGCGATTTTCAAAATGTTTTGATTGGTTTTGATTGATTTTGGACGCTGATTTCGAAAATATTATCCGTTTTGGATAAATCCACATACACCCCCCGAAAATCGAAATCTTTGGTTGCAAAACCAAAATTTTACTAATGAAATTAAATTTTTTTTTCGCGATTTTCAAAATGTTTTGACCGATTCTGATAGTTTTCGAGGCGCTGATTCCGAATATGAAATCAGTTTTTGGAAAAAAAAATTCTTCTGCCCTTGGTACCAAATTGAAGTTTGAAAAATTGCCAACTTTGAAGCTGATTTTAACTATGAAAACGATGATAAATTTGTATTTTTTTTGGTTTGGTATAAAGATTGTACTTTAGTCTACACAAAGCATCAATTAAAATTATTAATTTCATTCAATAAGGGCCTTAAAATTGCATTTGAAAGTCACGATTTTGGCCAATTTTGGCTGCTCCTGATAGACTGTCTTTTTATCGAAAAAATAATGAGATTTTTAAATTACACCAAAGTAGGTATGGTTTACTGCTAACCAGGCGTAAATATGAATTTATTAAAAATTATTCTCCTACTTTTTCCTATCTTTTATATATATATATATATATATATATATACACACGCGTATATATATATATATATATATATATATATATATATATATATATGTACGTATGTATATATATTATGTCGATTTTTGTAATACTGACACTCAATAAATTTAATTCTATCTATATGTCTTATTTATTTACACAGTTTGAAAAATTATTGGCTCCAAATATTTTTTTCAGTCAAATGGGGTTCGAACTGGCGAACTTGGAATTGCTATTCTGGCCTAAACCGTATCTTTACGACCTCGGCCATTTGCACATTCGGCATACTACATTTTTAGGAAACTTATATCTTTCAGTTTGAAAATAACACTTTATATTTTTAAAAAAGACTACGATTTCATGTAACTAATTGGCCGAGATCGTTAAGTTGTCACTACGGTTGCTCATTGTTTCTCGGTTCAAATCCCCAAGATGCTTGAAAAATCGAATGTATAGTTTTTCATAATTATCAAATATTAGTTCAAAATATTAAATTCAGGTGTCGCATTTCGACCTTGACACTTAGTATATTTCTGAAAAACAAAAAACTCAAGTTTCGCACTTGACTGTAAGAGAGATACATAAAAAGAAAAAAAAAAGGTAGAGGAAGAACTGGGGAAAGAGAGGGGTAGAGGCAGATGATGAATAAAAGAGATGTGTATGATACATATTCTTTATTAAAATTCAATATTAATATAATATAGGAATAAAAATAACTTTTATCATCAATAACTTAAATAGCCGAGTGGTTTAAGGGACCGCATACTCGGCGAAATCACTCTGGAGGCAGGCACAAGGTGAAGTGGATCGAATCCGGCTGAAGGCAACGACGACCAACTCTGAAGCAGAAAAAATGGAGCAGTGCTGGTGAATGGCTGTTGGCGAGCGCAAAGGGTCCTGAAACGAACACACCAAGTGATGGTCAACCAGAGGTCCATGATGCGAGAGGTTACACGCAGAGAGACACATTGCGGAAGATGCATGCCGGACCCAG